TACCAGTTAAGAGTGGATTTCTGCGAGACAATGCTGCGAAGACAACGAGAGGATCCCGATTTTTTTGATAAAATTTTATGGACTGACGAGTCACGTTTTGAAAGAACAGGGATATTCAATATCCATAATTTACATACTTGGACTGTTGAAAACCCCCACCAGTCAAGGCCGTCGACATTTCAACACCGTTTTAGTGTGAACATGTGGTCAGGAATATTCAATATGGAATTTATCGGTCCATTTGAACTGCCGTCAAGGTTGGATTCGGTAGCCTACAAAAGCTTCCTTGAAAATAGCCTACCATTATTGCTGGAAGATTCAAGCCTGGAAGCCAGACGGAACATGGTGTTCCAGAATGATGGTGCACCATGCCACAACGCAACGATCGTACGAAACTACTTAAACGAAAGGTTCCCAGACAGATGGATCGGACGAAACGGACCGATACGATGGCCTCCACGCTCCCCTGACCTCAACCCCATTGATTTTTTTGTTTGGGGATATTTTAAAGACATAACATTCGCCCAAGAATGTGCAAATAAAAATTCATTGAGGAACAAAATTCAAGAAGCGACACATGTGTTGAAAAACAACACACAAGCATTTAGAGATTTAAAACAAAATTTCATACGTAGGTGTACACTGTGCATTTCTGTTAGAGGCAGACATTTTGAAAACCTCTTGTAAATAACATAAATGAATAATAATCTGCTGTTCAGTAAAAATCAAACGTGTTTTTGTGGTTTTTGCAAATTTTTTTTCCGAAACTAACAATTTCTATTGAGCAGAGGGTTATCCAATTTTGGGTTCGGTTCTATTTGAGCCACAATTACGGTAGCATGTAGTAAAGCTAGGTTGATGAAATTTTTACGGTAAATAGCTGATACCGTAAGGAAGTTTTTAAGATACTTACGAATAGTAAGAACATGTTTTTCCAATTTTTTATAAACGTTCAAAGTTGTTGCACTTTTTTACTTTTTTGTTATGTTCGAAGATTTTGAAAAAAATTAAAAAGTAGTATTAGTTACATGACTTAAATGATTATATGATAGTTAAGCCTTAGGTCTTAGCTACATAATCGTGAAAAAAGCAGGCATTTATCACAATTATTAACGAAGTTATGGTAAAAATAAACACAGAACTCAAAAATTCTCGAAAAATCCGAAAAAAAATCATAACTCCTAAACTAAACAAAATCGGACCATATATATGGGGGTGATTTGGGTTCCTCTCGATGTGGGGAATCTATTTTTTTTTTATGACGTCACGTGTTTGGCCACCCTGTATAAGACACCCTGGGAAAAGCTAGCGGGTGGTACCGTCTCGGTCGACTGGTCCTTGTCTACCACCTTCTTTTTGCGTGTTAATGATATTAAATAGACCTAAAGAGACCCGTTGGCGGACTTGTACCGCCATCCGGCAATCGGTACTGAGGTATTCCTTAACGCGTGTACAATCACTCGAACGGGAAGAAGTTTTTTTTTATACTCAAACTACCACGAAGGCCTAAGGCCAAAACACCCATTGGGTACCGTGGGGCTATACTGGATAACTGGATATAACAACTTCCGGGACAAGCATTTAGCCACGGACCCGCTCAGTAGGGATACGAGGCCCTTCCCACTTCAGTTGGCCCAACTATTGAAATCTTAGTTTTTTTCTTTTCAAACACAAATTATAAAAATGTAGCAAGGTTGTTATAGGTTTAAAATATTAAAAATGAATATTTTGATAATATGTAGTAGAAAACACTAACTTTATCACTCCATAATCAAATTTGCAGCATAAAAATAACACATGTTGCAATTACAGCATATCAACCTATTTTCATTTCAATGCAAAATAACTCTATAACGCATAGGTGGCTGTGAAAAATAAAAGCCATGACAACTGTTTTTATTAATCACAGCTATCAGAATACGTTTAAAATATTAATTAATAAATAGTTTTGGGTAGTTAAGGTTTTCAAAATGGGTAGAGGAAAGGTTATTAGTGAGAAAATTCGGTTACTGATAATTAAATTTTTTAATTCTGGGAAATAAACTCAGAAATTGCAACTTTGTTAGACTTATCGCAGTACAGTGTGAGAAATATTGTTAGAAGATATAACGTAACTAGTTCACTTAATATTAAGCCACGATATGTGAAAAAAAGTAATATCACAAATGTCGACCGAAGAGCATCAAGAAGAATAATCGCGAAAAACAGGCGTGCCAATTATTCACAATTAAGTGCTCTGCACACTGCAAAAGAAAAATCGGCTTAGACGGACTAAAGAACATAGACAACGGACACCTCAACAATGGTGTGCAATACAATGGAGTGATGAGGCCCGATTCGAAGTTTGTGTTGGTGACAGTCGCAGTAGACTTATTCGTAAAAAAAAATGCAGCATTCCATGTTGAATGTTCCAGCATCCATTATGGTCTGGGGCAGTATGACATCAAAAGGAGTAGGAAAACTACATTTTATTGATGGAAATGTGGATACAAACAAATATTTGGCAATTTTAGAAGAATCGCTTTTACCACTGATGGAAGTATGTTTGACATCAGGCCAAGATTTTGTGTTTCAGCAAGATGGTGCAGCGTGCCATACCTCAAAAAAGGCTATAAAATGGATGGAAGAAAATAATGTACCACTTTTGAAATGGGTTTCTAGCAGTCCAGATCTGTCACCTATTGAAACTTTGTGGCACGAGATGAAAAAGGTTCTACGACAACATCCTGGTAGTACAATCACCGAACTGAGACAAAAGCTTAAAGAAATATGGGATTGTTTTACACCAAATTTTTGTCAAAACTTGGTTAACACTATGCCCCAAAGAATTTCAGCCATAATAAAAAATAAAGGTGATGTTATCCAATGGTAATCTTTCAATTGTTGCTTTGTTAACTTCGCGCATTTATTCGCACATTGTTTATTTGTTTAGATGTTCTATTACTCGTAGTTATAGGTCTAAGTGACTTCAAATATGTATTTTTTACGACTAGAGTGTACCTAAAAGTTTCTTGAGAAAGTAGATTGTTTTAGAAGTAAGCAGTTTCGGTACAAATCTTGAAGTAGGCCAACTGAAGTGGGAAGGGGCTCGTATATGTCCATATTCTATGTTTACTTTCTTTTAATGCACTTATAGTTACCTGATTCATAATTTGTGATTTCTGGTTGTAGTATGGTCATGGCTAAACTTCGCCATACTATGATCAGTTTTTGAAAAAAGGCATCATTATTATTATATCTAGACAACCAGACCAGACACATCTACTGACCTACAGAACGTCAACGAAGATCAAAGGTCCAGCAGGCCCCTCTGTCAAGCAAATGGCAAATAGGCTACGAAGAGCAACGGATTAGTCTTTCCGCTAACGTGTATTTGAAACAATGTTGTTTCAGAGCAAACGCGCGAATTCAGCGAATTCACTAGTCGACGACTATTGTAACAGCCGCGCCGTTAGGCGACCTTTGGGCTGCTTTTGAGTACTAATTAATCATTATAATGTAATGAGCTGCGAATGGACTGCATGCATCACGACGAACTTTTATTGGGTCAATTGACAGATGCACTCAACTAGACCAGGGGCGGTACGCGCGAAATTAGCATTATAAATAGGGAAATAGCACAAATTTCGACCAATCGCATGTCGTCGTTTTTTAAGTAATGGATATTTTTGTTACCGAAGCAGCCGCGCAGGCAGAAGCCTAAATACCAGTACACCGCGGCTGCTATAAGAATCCCAAACAAATTTTGTGAAGCCGATTTATGAACTGCCTAAGGTTAGTAGAACTGGGGAAAGCCTCCTCATGTAGATTGTCTCACAATCTCTTTACTGCCGGAGTTTGATCTACACCTACATTTCAATTTCCTAAAGACCTTCACAATCACTGATTCATTAAGAGAATCTGTGGCTTCTTCTGGTGCTTCAGAAGCTGAAGGTACCTTAGATTCTTTCTTTTCGGCTTTCTCAATGTCTCTCTTCTCATCGTTCGATTCGCTTTTGATGGAGAGCTTTGCTGGTAATGGGAGAAGACGCTATCACTCACTGTCAGCGTTTCACAAGCACAACGACTTCTAAACGTGGTATAACTTTCATTGTAGGAGTTTGATCTATACCTTCATTTCAATGATTTGAAATAATTTTTCGATAGCTCGATCTATCTTCATGTATATCGCTATGGTCCGCTGGCATTTCCAAGCTTCCGTTTGTACTCTTTTCCCAAAGATATTCACAATCACAGATTTCTTAACAGAATTTGTGGCTTCGCCTGGTGCTCCAGGAACCGGGAGTACTCTAGAGTCTTTCTTTTCGACTTTCTTAGTTTTTTATTCTCATCTTTCGATCCACTTTTGACGAAGAGGTTTGCAAGTTATGAGGAATAGATGTGGAGACAATTTCACAAGTAAAACGATTTCTAAGTGTGGTATGATTTTTATTGCAGGAGTTTGATCTACAACTTCATTTCAATGATTTGACGAAACTCTGTTCTTCCAATTTTTTATGGCTCGATTTATCTTCAGGTATATCCCTATGGTCAGCTGGGATCTCCAAGCTTTCTTCTGCACTACCTACTTTCCCAAAAGCCTATACAATCACTGGTCTCCTAGCAGAATATGTGACTTCATCTGGTGCTTCAGGCACTGAAGGTACCTTAGATACTTTTTTTTCGGCTTTCTCAATGTCTCTTTTCTCATCACTCGATCCACTTTTGATGGACAGCTTCGCTGGTGATGGTGATTAGATGTAGAGACGATTGAGATTGAGCACCGTCCGTTGTTTGAGAAGATGCTATCTATCACCCACTGTCAGCGTTTCCCAAGCAAAACGATTTCTAAAAGCGGTATAATTTTTATTGTAGGAGTTTGACCTACACCTTCATTTCACTGATTTGACGGAACTCTCTTCTCCAAATTTTTGATGGCTCGATCCTTCAGGTATATCGCTATGGTCAGCTGGCATTTCCAAGCTTCCGTTTGTACTATCTTTTCCCAAAGATATTCACAATCACAGATTTCTTAGAAGAATTTGTGGCTTCGCCTGGTGCTCCAGGAACCGGAGGTACTCTAGAGTCTTTCTTTTCGACTTTCTTAGTTTTTTATTCTCATCTTTCGATCCACTTTTGACGAAGAGGTTTGCCAAGTTAAGAGGAATAGATGTGGAGACAATTTCACAAGTAAAACGATTTCTAAATATGGTATGATTTTTATTGCAGGAGTTTGATCTACAACTTAATTTCAATGATTTGACAAAACTCTCTTCTTCCAATTTTTTATGGCTCGATTTATCTTCAGGTATATCCCTATGGTCAGCTGGCATTTCCAAGCTTCCGTTTGTACCATCTTTTCCCAAACACATCCACAATCACAGATCTCTTAGCAGAATTTGTGGCTTCGCCTGGTGCTACAGGAACTGGCGGTACCCTAGATTCTTTCTTTTCTACTTTTTTAGTTTTTTCTTCTCATCTTTCTATCCACTTTTGATGAAGAGCTTTGCAAGTTATGAGAAATAGATATGGAGTCAATTGAGATTGAGCACCGTCCGCTGTTAGAGAAGGTACTATTAATTACTGTCAGGGTTTCACAAGTAAAATTATTTCTAAATGTGGTATAATTTTATTGCAGGAGTTTGATGTACACCTTCATTTCAATGATTTGACAGAACTGTCTTCTCCCAACATTGGATGGCTCGATCTATCTTCAGGTATATCGCTATGATCATCTGGTATCTCCAACTTTTCCTTTGTACTAGCTACTTTTCCAAACGCCTTTACAATCACAGATTCCTGAGTAAAATCTGTTGCTTCGTCTAGTGCTTCAGGAACTGAAGGTACTTTAGATTCTTTTTTCTCGGCGTTTACAGTTTCTTTTCCCCCATCCTTCGAAGCACTTTTCGCGAAGAGCTTTGCAAATAAGGATGAATAGCTGCTGAGTCCTGATGATTGAGAATGACTATCATCCATGGTTTCAGGAGGGGCTATTACAGAAGTTAAATCAGTATCTGCTTCACCTGGAGGTTTGATGTTTGGTGCTCCAGATTCTTTTCTCTCCATTATCGAAGTGCTTTTAGGTTTCACTGAGGATTTTGATTAGTGAGATAGTGTGATGATGTTATTTGAAATGACACTAGTGATGACAAGTTAAATTTTTTGACGTAATCGTGGAAAGCGATATATACAGAAGATTGAGACCAGGCTAGCTAGGCTTGTGGCAAAAATAACAACAAGCATTCTGTTTGTACTAGTTTCTCTGGACTTCGGTCTAGTCAGTCTACAACTTTACAGACCAGTCGTAAAATTGAACCACAACTTGATAAAAATGTGTCGATATTTCCGACAACATTGTAGGATTTCCCGCGGTCATAAAATATTTAGTTATACTTTTATTGGTCATAATTTTTGGATATAGTTTTATATTTGGCAGTAAAAATCAAACGAACTGGACTGCCATAGTTCAGATTACAGATCAGTGGCGTAGATAAGGGCCACATGCATTAATGCATAATGGTTCGTTGAGAAGATCTTACTGTAAGGACGTCCTATTTACCTTGGCACTTGGAGTGACAGGAGAATTCTCAAACGTCAAAGAAGATTGCCTTTGTAGCTGCGTGCGCAGAAGCCTTAATACTGAGATAAGCACTCTCGGGCAGACTGTTCCACAATCTCAACACTCTAGGGACAGAGGAGCAGTCGTACCGGCCAGTTCTGTATTTACGAATTTCGACAAGGTTAGGATGGGAGGCCATTTTAGATATATAGTATCTCAAATTTTGCGTGACAACAATTTTTTCTCGTATATTGTACTTTGCCATATGATTTGTAATGGGTTGCTTATGGCAGGGGACCTGTTCTAAAATAAAAGTTATCTCATCTCATCATCAATAGCTGGTCTTTTTTTGAAAAAATGAATCTAATAAAGTATACTAATTGACATATAAATCCGAACACCCAGTTTAAATGGTTTTATTTCAATAAAAGTTGGTGAATGTATTTATCTTACTGTAGATAACAAGTGAAAAAATTTTCAGCCTTATCAGTTGGACATTCCAGTTTTTATACTGCTTTTTTTTAATTCACTAACGCTCTAAAAATGAATATTTCAACCGCAGTAAAGAATCAACGTTGGCGGATTTTGGTTCTTGACATCCTTTACGATCGGTTACGATGCCTAGAGTACGGAGACCTGTACGATTTCGTCAACTTAGTGAGTTTGATGGGGGCCGTATAGTGGGACTTCGGGAAGCTGGACTTTCTTTTCGGGCAATTGCAGTTAGAGTGCAAAGAAGTGTAGACAGTGTGGTTAGGTGTTGTCAGGCATGGCTTCGAGAAGGCCGTACGCAAAGAGCAAGGGGCACTGGACGCCGCCGTAGAACAACAGACCGTGAAGATCGCCGCCTAAGATTATTGGCCTTAAGGGACCGTTTCTCCACTACCAGGTCCATTGCAAATGAATGGTTTGCAGAACACGGAAGACCTATTGGCATGCGAAGTGTTTACCGACGAATGAGAAGTTTTGGCTTGTTTTCATACCGGCCACACTGGGTCCTCCCTTTAACTCGAGAACACCGACGTAATCGCCTTGAGTGGTGCAGACAACGGTCACTCTGGGATCAGGAATGGGACAGTATTGTCTTTAGTGACGAGTCTCGATTTTGTTTAGGCATGCACGATGGTCGTGCCAGGGTTAGAAGGCGACGTGGTGAAAGGAGGAATCCACAGTTTTTTGTTGAAAGACATGTTCATCACACTGTTGGAGTTATGGTTTGGCGTGCTATAGCTTATGGTTCCAGGTCACCTTTAATCTTCATCAGAGGTAACATGAACACGCAGCGTTATAGTCACGAAGTTCTAGAACCCCATCTTTTACCCTATCTTGACACCCTGGCAGATCCAACTTTCCAACAAGATAATGCCCGACCACATGTTGCAAGAGTCACAATAGACTTCTTTCAACATAATGATGTCACATTGTTACCATGGCCACCAAGATCTCCCGACTTATCCCCAATTGAGCACGTGTAGGATATGATGGGTAGGAGATTGCTCAATTTGCAACGTCCTCCTCAGACTCTAGAAGCACTTCGAAAGGAGATGGTGGTTGCCTGGAAGGAGATACCACAGGAGGACATTGACCACCTGATCAGAAGCATGCCTAGGCGCGTTGGAGAATACGTAGCACATCAGGGTGCATCCACACATTACTAAAGGTCAAAGGGCTTTAAAGCAGTGCAAGCATTTTGAAATTTTTATCATTTACTTATTATGCTTCATTAAGTACTTATACAAAATTTTATTAAAATAAAACCATTTAAACTGGGTGTTCGGATTTATATGTCACTTAATATATTTAGTAAAGGCAAACATAAGAGAAATAAATATTATAACTCATTGGTCTGCATTAGTCATTTTTTAAGCAAAATATGAGATATCTCAAAAACGGTTACACTTAGGTGTACGATAATATACACGAAATGCATTCAGAATATCGCGTGAAATGGATAATATATAGGTTGTTCTATTTAAAAAAAGCTAGCTGGTATCTACTACCACTGGAAGTGCAATCATTTTGAAAATATTCCAGCCAGGTTTTTGGGCAATTGATCGCCCCAGTTCTACGTGACACACCCTGTATGACAAATGAAGTAAAGTAAACAGAAGCGTCCAAAGCAAATAGACCTCCATCTATTTATTTCCCGCAAAACAATAACACAGGTCTGAAGTGAAACAACTAGCTCTGAAATTGCACGTATGCCTCAGCTGAGTTAACTTCAACAACGTTGCCCTGCACAACAAAAGAACAACCCCCGGCCCCCGACAATCACTCAAAGGGTGCTTTGGAGGTTGCGGATGAATATCAGTGTGCTTGCGCCGGGAACATGAAAATGACAGCGAGAAATATGAATAGAAACCTAACGAGAACATAACAGAGAGAACTCGGTATTGCAGCTGTTACCAAGGGGATCAAAAATTACAGGTAAACGTTTGAATTGGTAGGAAAACCGTATTCTGAAAACGGAATAATAAGTAGCTCCGCGGATTTGATTCCGCCGGGAGATGATAACTAGCGGAATCGAAAGACATCAGAGGCGTGTAAAAGGTGTTTTAGTTTCACACAACATCGTATAGGTATCCCGTGTCGTTTTAGGGTCGATTGAATCATGCGCTTGACGTTAAACTATTTATAAACAGAATTTACGCAATGCCTGAGGCTAGACTTGGCAAAGTTTTAAGGCCGGATTGTAAACTCTGACGTTCCGTACCACTGCCGTAACGTTGCAAAAACGCAGAACTTAAATCATGGCGCTAAAACTGTTGATAAACAGGAATTAGGCAACGTTTGTCGGCAGCGCTGATGCTAGACCTAACGAAGTTTTGAGGTCGAATTACAAACTCCGACGTTCCCTATCACTGCCGTAACGCTTTCCTAAAGCAGAAATTGAATCACGCGCTCGGTGTTAAACTGTCGCTAGACTTGACGAAGCTTTAATGTGGAATTATATACTCTGACTTACCTCCCACTGCCATAGCGTTCTTCTAACGCAGAACTTGAGTCATGTGCTTGAAGTTAAACTGTTTATAAACAGGAATTATGCAACGTTCGTCCGCAACGCTAGACTGGACGAAGCTTTACTGTCGAGTTATGAACTCTGACGTTCCATACCACTGCCGTACCGTTGCTAATGCGCAGAACACGAATTTCGCAACGTTTGTCCGCAGCGTTGACGCTAGACTTAACGAAGTTTTAAGGTCGAAGTACAAACTCTGACGTTCCCTATCACTACAGTAGCGTTTCTGTAATGCAGGACTTGAATCATGTGCTCGGCGTTCAACTGTTTATAAACAGGAACTAAGCAAGGTTCATCCGCAACGCTGACACTAGACTTGACGAAGCTTCAATTTTGAATTATAAAGTCTGCCGTTCCCTCCCACTGCCATAGCGTTCTTCTAAAGCAGAACTTGAATCATGCGCTCGAAGTTAAACTGTTTATAAACGGGAATTACGCAACCTTCGTCCGCAACGCTAGCGTCAACGCTTAACGAAGTTTTACGGTTAAATTATAAACTCTGACGCTCCCTATCACTACCGTAGCGTTCCCGTTACACAGAACTTGAATCATACGCTCAGCGTTAAACTGTTTATAAACAGGAGCTACGTCAAGCTGACGCTAGACTGGACGAAGCTTTAATGTTGAGTTATAAACTCTGACGTTCCGTACCACTGCCGTACCGTTGCTAAAGCGCAGAACTTGAATCATGGCGCTAAACTGTTTATAAACAGAAATTTCGCAACGTTCGTCCGCAGCGCTGACGCTAGACTTAACGAAGTTTCAAGATTGAATTACAAACTCTGACGTTCCCTATCACTGCAGTAGCGTTCCCGTAACACAGAACTTGAATCATGCGCTCAGCGTTAAACTGTTTATAAACAGGAGCTGCGTCAAGCTGACGCTAGACTGGACGAAGCTTTAATGTTGAGTTATAAACTCTGACGTTCCGTACCACTGCCGTACCGTTGCTAAAGCGCAGAACTTGAATCATGGCGCTAAACTGTTTATAAACAGAAATTTCGCAACGTTCGTCCGCAGCGCTGACGCTAGACTTAACGAAGTTTCAAGATTGAATTACAAACTCTGACGTTCCCTATCTCTACAGTAGCGTTCCCGTAACACAGAACTTGAATCATGCGCTCAGCGTTAAACTGTTTATAAAGAGGAACTACGTCAAGCTGACGCTAGACTGGACGAAGCTTTAATGTCGAGTTATAAACTCTGACGTTCCGTACCACTGCCGTACCGTTGCTAAAGCGCAGAACTTGAATCATGGCGCTAAACTGTTTATAAACAGGAATTTCGCAACGTTCGACCGCAGCGCTGACGCTAGACTTAACGAAGTTTCAAGATTGAATTATAAACTCTGACGTTCCCTATCACTGCAGTAGCGTTCCCGTAACACATAACTTGAATCATGCGCTCAGCGTTAAACTGTTTATAAACAGGAGCTACGTCAAGCTGGCGCTAGACTGGACAAAGCTTTAGTGTTGAGTTATAAACTCC